TAATTTGCCTACTAAAGTCCTAATTTTCTCTACTCTATTTCGCCTATTATGCCGATAATTACGCCCGAAATCCGGTCCAAATAGCCATCTGCAACAGTTGCATGCACGCCTGTGCAAACAACAAACCAACATGAATAAGGCGCTTATTCTCTTATGTCCATGTGTTTTGTGCAAAGGAGCGGCTAGCCGTCCAAGAAACGTGTCCATAGACAATATCGTATATAGACCAATAGAATATAGACAAATCGTCGCTGACAGCCTGGTCGGCTAAGGGCCGTCGTGAAGACCGGTGAGGTATACCGTGCTCATAGGAGTTCTATGCGCCCCAGGGTACTGCCGGAACGTACCTTTGGTTGGGTTTTTTTTTTAACTATCATTGATATGGTTAGAGTTGGGTTAACCCGACCAAGGCTCTGTGACTAACGTCCAATATACATTACAGTAGGGCAGGAAAAAATAAATAAAATTCGCGGGCTCTTTCTTGGCAAACGCCCCCCAAAATATTTCGGGAAGCTACTTGTTTCATTTTCCAAAGGGTTGCTTTTTCCACTTAGCCAGGGCAATCTTTTTCGCAGAAGCCAGGTTTGAGAAGCGGCCCGGCGAGTACGTGTGTAAGGCTGTGCACATCTGACCCTGCGTACGTGCCTGCTGGCAGGGGCGGCATGATTTGAAGTACGCGGTGGGGGGGGGCAACGGATTGTATTCACGCAATGGTACTAATCACTACTAAAATTAGATGGTTGGCTGCTGGACCTATGAAGAGCGGACGAACAAACTCTTCCGGGAATGACGAAAATAGCTACAATCCGGGAACAACGAGTGATGCCCGGCAGAGAAAAATATACGTGTTGAATTTCAAGTGAGTTTTCCCATGGATTAACCGTCTAATAAATCCACGGTGTCGCTGTGCTACCGGTCTACTGCACCGACGCCCTGCAAGCACCGCAACGCACGACACATGCATCAGCCGCGAGGCACACACGCAAGCACGCCCACAGGTCACACCGCAACGCACCGGCTACGCAGCACCGCACTGCGCAGAGCACCGCACACAAGCACACGCACAGGCACACAGCCACACACGTATACTGCGCCGGCTGCAGCGCGCGCGTCATTGATTGAATCAAGAGTAGATAATCATAACATCCGTGGAAACAGATTACGATTACAGGCAATACGGCTAGCAAGATATATGTAAAGAATATCAGTACCGACGAAGCGTGAGTATTAGCTGGTGCATAATAAGCTGAGGAAACGTATACATATGTACACTTGCTCTTTATTGTGGCCAAAATTTTGAATGACGAAAAATCGCTCTAAAACTGCGGGAATCGGAGTGTCCGCTCTGTTTAATATTATCTACTCTTGACGTGATGCCGGCCATGATCCGAGGCCTCTCGCCGAGGGATTGACACTTTGTGTGCTTCCAATCACAGTCAACGGCGCCACCTATCTCCTATACTGCTTAGCTACTAATACCTATTAACGGCATGGAATCTGCCGATCTCACGAACTAGGGCATCTGCTAGGCTAGAACAGTTTCCTACGATGAGAGTATTGTGCACAAAACACGAAAATAACCAGCGTTTAGCGCACTGCGGATAGGGTCTTTCTTGTAACAAACAATTAGCCGAAAACACAGAGACACGAGTCATACGAAACGTGTCAAAGTAACGGATCTATTTGTGTTTTACGAGAATGACACGGCTTGTTGAACCAAATGAGAGAGCTAGTGCTAGTACTTAGTACCTACTACCTAGTACCTACTACCTTCGAAGTGGTAGAGGTCCTAAAGTAGTACTTGCACATAGATTCATGACATCATTTTACACCTTTCTGCCTTATAATTCACTTGCTGCCAGCCGCAGTAGACGATTGATTAACCGCGCGCCTCTGTACATTATTATGCCCGTGGTTGAATACGAATGATGCGCGTGAACTCGGCCCACGCGCGATTTAAAGCGCGACAAACAGCATCTATGACTACTATGTATGTAGTGGCCTCGAGCCGGTCTCGACCCGAGTCCTCGAGTCCGGAGGGCTCGAGTCCGAGTCCGAGTCCGAGTCATTGCACTCCGAGGCCGAGACCGAGACCAAGGAAAACGGTCTCGAGACCGGTCTCGAGGCCAAGACCGGTCTCGAGACCTACAACACTGGCACGCACGCACACACATGCACGCGCGCAGGCACACACATGCACGCGCGCAGGCACACACATGCACGCGCGCAGGCACACACATGCACGCGCGCAGGCACACATGCAAGCACGCCCGCAGGCACACCGGCACACACAGGCACGCCCGCAGGCACACCGGCACGCACGCGCGCAGGCACACACGCGCGCAGGAACACACGCAAGCACACGCACAGGCACACAGCCACACACGTATATGCGCGCGGGCGGCGCGTTTCATTGAATCAAGAGTAAATAATATAACATCCATGCAAGATTACGATTTACAGCAATACGCTAGCAAATATATGTAAACGAATATCAGTACCATGAAGGTGAGTGATTAGTGGTCATAATAAGCTGAGGAACGTATACATAATACACTTGCTTCTTTATTGGTGGCAAATTTTGATGAGAAAAATCGGTTAAAAATGCGGGAATCGGATGTCTCCCTCTTGTTATATTATCTACTCTTGATTGAATGCAATACAGTACAGTACACACATGCATGCTTAAATGGTAAACACTTGACAGTCATACCGTACCATGAATTCTACCGCGCCGTGGAACCGGCTGCCGCTAGCGGCATAGGCCTAGGCATCGCAGCGCAGCAACGCCGAGCGAGAGCGGCAAGGGGCGGGACCGACCTGGATAATCGATTTCCAGGGCGACTTTTTCTTTTGGGGTCGCCCCCGATATCATGTTTTCGGGGACTCTTTTTGGCATTTCGGGGGCGAAATCGCCCGCCGCCCCTGTGTATTTTTTCCCCTGATTACAGGTATTCTAACCCTACTCCCTAGCAATACCGTTTCTTGGAGCTAAGGTTAGGACTTAGGGTTAGGGAGTAGGCGACTCCCTAGACTCGTTAATGGAGTAAGCGAGGTACGGTCCGGCATATTAGATAGTACCAGGGTACGTTCCGGTATACCGGACAGTACCCAGGGTACGTTCCGGCAGTAACCTGGAGGACATAGACCCTCTCACTCTCAGCTGTAGGCCTACTTGTGAGTTGTGACTTGTGTGTTGCAGATGACCATTTTCATTTGACCAGCATTTACGGTAATTATCGGTAATAATAGGCGAAATAGAGTAGAGAAACATTAAGACTTTGGTAGTAAATACATTTCGTGTTTATTTACCGTTTTTTTTATTGAGACGTTCCAAGTGCCTGTGGCTGAAACAATATACTTACTAATACTATGATAATTCATACTTGCGCTTATGTGCGCCTCCATTGAAGCGATATCTCACCGTAAGATGGCGGGAGCGTAGAACTAATGAAAAGATGTACTGATGTAGGTAAAATTCAACTAATCGGTCTATATAAAAACGATCAGCTTATAAGTTGTATAAGCGGTGTGTGTAAATCTCTCTTTTATATACGATGACTCATCTTGGTTACTGGATTCATCTCAAATTGTTTTTTTACTAACTCAAACATCACTAATAATAACTTCGCGATAGGACCTAGGTCAGGGCCTGGCCGTTCTAAATTTCAGGTTTTGATTCTTTTTATACGTATCGAATCTTTTCGCGACCTAATTGTTTGGATCTGATGACCATTGTATAGCAAAGGCTGTGCTAAATCATAATTAATAAAGTATTCTTTAAGGATATGGGGCGCGACAGGACAAAAGAATGTCGGGCCCACAGAAACAAACTACTACCACCCCCACGTCTCGCAGCATGCGAACCGACCTACACAACGCGGACATTAGCAAGTAAACGATTACAGAAGCGCGCTGTATTTGATTGCGCTGACCTGCTTCCTGATTGGCAAGACTGGTGCCCAGGTGGTCACAGATTCCCCTCTACCAGTAGTAGTACTGCCTGACTCAAGGGTTATGTCCCCCAGCGTTACACTGGGCCGGGAACGTACCGCTGGTAACTATCCTAATATGCCGGACCGTACCTCGCCGACCTCACGCTCCCCAACACACCCGCTCACCCCCGCCTGACTTTCATGACTGAGTGTGCGTAAATACGTAAATACTATGATACCGCTTGTGCGCAGGTAAACGCGCCGCTTCTAGTGCTGCCCGGTTCCTTCGTTTCCGGGTCCGTTCCCGCAAAAATATTCGTAATCCCTATCAAGCCAAGCACAGCTGCAGCGACAAACGACGCCCAGCGACCCGTCACCCCGACAAACCAACAACACGACCTTCTATACAAAGAAAAATTAGCCACACTAACCAACTTGCTTTCGTCATGAGCCATCAGCACCACATGCCACGCGCACCGCCCACGACAACCAACGGACGACAACCTCGACGACAAAAATATTGTAGAAAGCGTTTCTAATCATCTCCCCCCCCCAACAGCCCAACTATACGGCGATTTAACTTTCGACACAGCGGCGACATTTAACAAAATGGCAATCAGCAGTTTTCGACAATCGGCACGTGACATCGCCATTACGTCATAAAATTATAAACGCAATGCTTAGCTCAGGAAGTCAGACTGGAAGCGCCCAAGCGCTACCACTCAGGCACGCCCTGTCAGAAAGCAGTGTGAGCCGCGAACCCATCTAAGCCAAAACGTGGGCAAGGCTGCGGGGCAGCCATCAGACGTGAATTTATTGTTTCTACCGTTGCCGTCATTGATATGCTGCTGTCTACTTAGCTTATTATATTCGTATACATACGAGCGTTTTTACGCAGCAATTTATTTAAAAGCAGCAAGCAGGAGTTTTTTGGCCGTTTGCTCATGAAGTGGCACTAGGTTGGTGAGTGGCTGGTGAACTTTGCCGTTACGCGTCGCCCCTCGTTGTCCCGCTCGCCACGCTCGTCCGCTCGCGCGGCAGTACGCCGTCGACTGTTGGTCGTTGTCGTTACGGTCGGTCGCTGTCCGCTGGCAGTGTGTCTTGCTGTACGCCTGTTACGTTTCACCTCCCAACCCCTTTCCTCAGCAGTGCTCAGCGACGGCAGACCTCCAGATCCGTCCAATGCTCCAGCGAGCACACACCCGTCAGCTTTCACGATTTAAACGTGTCCACGTTGAGTGTAACCCTTTCAACGCAGGTTACCGTCCTTTACAGTGGTTTGAGTTACAAAAATTTATGTGGAAAGTTTGAGGTAAGCTACCTTTAATACAGCTTGAACACATGAACAGATTTATTACTGTTTATCATTTGAGGTACCATAACTAGAAAAGAATCATGATCACAAAGCACCAATGTTGCGATGATCTATAGCATCTTTAGATGATAATATGTTTCATTCTAGGCGTACAAGTTCCACCGGTTGGTTTAGCTGGATGCGAAGCTGGTGGACATGGTGCCCCACCTCACAGGGGGCCCTGCAGAATGCAGAGGCAAGGATACTAAGTTGTAAGTCTTCATTAACGATTAAACAAGAGTGGTGACTGGCTAATTGCTCAGAATGTGGATTGAACATACAGCTTATGATTATTATCTTAGTTGATTTAGTGTAATTTTAATTTGCCTGAGTTGTGCTATTTTAATGTTTGTATAATCGCTTGGCTTTCAGTTATAAAGACAAAGTTTGAAGACACAACTGTACAGATATCAAATAACAACAAAATTAACACAGTATGCATAAATACAGAAATGGGGAAAAGACATATACCTCTAGTGATGATGCATGGATTTGGTTCAGGAATTGCATTGTGGGTACGGAACCTAGACAGCTTGTCAAAGTCAAGGCCACTTTATTGTTTTGATTTATTAGGATTTGGACGAAGTTCTAGACCAAGGTAAGTACTTAGCTGGTTTTCTGGATTATCTCGTTTACATTGCACATAAAAATTGTTTCTTTAGTGTAGGGCCCTATATAAATAGGTATCAGAATGAGTAATTAAATTAACATGTACCGTACATTAATCAGTTATGTGATGTAGGATCATTCTTGTACACTGTGAAAATCTTGTCTGCAATCTCCAATGCCTAAAAAGGAGAATTGGCCTGAAAGTATCAGCATTATCCTTTCTAAACTATCAGCTAAACCCATTTCGTCCATATGTGTGTTTATGTTCTCACAGGTTAAGCAATAAAGCGGAGATAGTCGAGGCTCAGTTTGTCGAATCTGTTGAAGAGTGGAGAAAAGCAGTTGGCCTAAACAGTTTCATATTACTTGGCCATAGCCTCGGTGGTTATTTAGCAGCAGCATATGCATTAAGGTATGGTGCACTCTCACAAGTATAAATTTATCCCTTTGTCAGATCTGTAGGTGTCTAAATTCTAATAATTAGACTGTTACTGTTCACATTTTCTTAATTTTTACACATTTTCAAATTTTTTTTTTTTATCTCATATCTCTTGTATATAAATACTTGATATTATTAAAGTGACTACGTCACCGTAATTAGTAAAAGTAAAAAAAATGTGTCCACTTTTTTTTTTACAAAATGTTAGTGATTCTGTTCACTTTTTATGGTTAAAAATTGCTGCATTATACTTCCTATTTTGCTTTCTGTTTGATGTGAACAAACACTCGTGACCCATATACCCAATAGCAAGCAATTAATGTCATGACCAAAATATCAAATCGCCCAGGTTTTTTTGGATTTTTCACTAGTTGAGAAACAATCTTATCGGGTAAGAATTCAAGGATGCATTTAGATTTGTTAGTACTTACTTTTAATGTAAAAAATTGCAATAAAAATTTAACAATTATACTCCATGGAAAATTCGTGACGTAGTCAATTTAAGGGCAGATCTAGGATTTGAATATAGGGGAAGAAAGCAGGTGAGCAGATCAATACAATTGATGATATGTACAAATTCAGTTAGCAGTGCAGTCTCGACATAACCATTTCTAGATTGCTACCCATGGGCTGTATGTTTGGGCAGATATTATCAGGAGTGAATAATAATAAATTATAATTAGATCTATTATTATTCACTCCTGATATTATCTTAGATAGACATTCTGTGTTGGATGGGTGTAATTCAAAAGGCTATTCACAGTTCCACCTGGATGTGTGTCAGCTCCCTGATCATTCGCCCATACTGTGGGGCACTGTCCCACCCTGTACAGCAGTGTCTGCAGATACTGAAGCTATGCTCTTAGTGTTCCTAGCTTTATATCGCTGTGTCTGTATGCTTTTTAGATATCCAAGTCGAGTGAAGCAGCTAATCCTAGCTGATCCGTGGGGTTTTCCTCAACGACCAACCACCAGCGATTTGAGCAGACGACCACGGGTGCCTGTGTGGATCCGAGCCATCGTGTTCCTCATGCAACCGTTTAACCCTCTAGCTATCCTCCGGGCAGCAGGACCATGGGGTATGCCTGCGCATGCTTTTGTTTCAGTATTAGTTTGAGTTCTCGTCATTTACCATTTTTAGTCGTTTATCTGTTTAGAACTCATGCCAAAAGCTACCGCTCACTGTAAACATGAGGTTAATGGACTGGTGTCGAGTTAGACCTCATTAAATGAATGAATAGTAGGCCTAATGTTTTCTCTCGCTCTCTCTCTCTCTCTCTCTCCTCTCTCTCTCATCTCCTCTCTCTGCTCCTCTCTTCTCTCTCTCTCCTCCTCCTCGTCTCGTCCTCCTTCTCTCTCTCTCTGCTCTCAAACCAACTCTCCTCTCTCGTCTCTCTCTCCTTCTCTCTCTCCCTTTCTCTCTCGTCTCTCTCTCTCTCTCCTCTCTCTCTCTCGTCTCTTCTCCTCCGCCGCTCTCTCTCTCTCTCTCCTCTCTCTCTCTCATCTCTTGTCTCTCTCTCTCTTCACGTCTCTCTATCGCCCTCCTCCTCTCTCTCGCTCTCGTCTCTCTCTCTTCGTCAGTCTCTCTCATCCCGATTCTCAATCGCTCTCTCTCTGCTCATCTCGTCAATGTCTCTCCCTACGTCTCATCTCTCTCTCATCGTCATCTCTCTTCGGACAAACTCGTGCCATCTTCGCTCGTCCT